CAGCCTCGACTCATAGCGACCCCTCCTTGGGTTTCCAAGGCAGTATCACTACGGAAGTAGGAATGCTCAACCTTCCTTCCGAAGAGTGGCTGGTGGGTTTGAACCGCCAGCCTTCTGGTTAGCAGTCAAGTGCCTTAGGCACTATGCTACCAGAGCTCCTTAATACACGGTATTAAATATTTGGCAAACATTAGTCAAAGCATACTACCTTTACTTAAGAAGAAATAGTCCACACTGATGGAGAAATATATTCCAAACATTCCTCTTACCTGGAAATGCATATCTCTCTAACTTGTTGAGGTGTCAGAGCAAAAATAAAAAACTTCTCTTGAAAACGCTGAATACTGCTTTGAACTGAGGGGGAAAAGAAAGAAAATATTTTAATAAAACTCCAACGATGTAAGTATTTGCAAAAACTAGGCACTCCTGATAAAGGGGACAAATTCTGAAACTTTAATGGCTCCAAAATAAAAAAATACTAAATTGCATTAGTTTTGGAATCAGAAGAACAAAATCATTACTAAATGTTTTAATTTTAAGCAATTATTTTTTATTCTAAAAGACTAATTATAATATAGTCAAAATATAACAAAACTCTTCATGTGTGATTTACATTTCAACCATGTCTATATATAGTATCACCTACTGAAAAATCTGAGGAAGTCAAAAATTCTCCCCAGGAGAACTCTATCCAAGGATCAGAGTTTTTTGTTTTTGTTTCTTTGTTTCTTTGTTCTGTTTTTGTTTTGGTGCTTTATATCCAATTACACAGAGCATTCATATAAAAGAAAATTTAAAACTTCAAAACTTTTAAACTATTAACATATATAATAATTTACATATAAGAGATTACCTAATTAACAAAAGATTACTCAGTAAGGTTATCCTTCTTAATTATCTGTATTATTAAAAACATGCCCTGATGCATTTGAGTTCACAAAGAATTGAAATAGACTAATACTACTACATTATTCAATGTAAAGCAAAACAGAACAAAACTTAAAAGCTAATATAGAGGCCTCAAGGCTTCCAACTCCCACCCAGGAAAAAAATCAGAACAGCCCTCATTTATTACTGCCCGGTTTTCCTGCATGCGTCAAGATACCTGCTAAATATCCAATGACAGACAGCTTTGATCCATAAGTCACAAAACATCAAGAAAAATATTAACTTCCTGAGTAAAATACTCCTCTCTTTAAGCATATGCAGTTTATTACAGTAATTATGCTTCTAGTAATCATGTTATAAAGTGGTTTGTATTTTCCCAAAAGACTTTTAAAAAGCAAAGAAAGGGATACTGCTTATGATGCAAGTCTTCAAAATTAAACAAAATTTTATGTCATAAACATACTATAAAGCATAAACACGAAAACATAACTAGAGTAGTAAGTCTCTCCATTTCCTCAATTTCTAGTCATTCTTCAATCTTTTCTTTATTGTTCAGGTTGCTAATATAAGAAGAAAACAAGTACCAAAGTCATATGTATAGTATGATTGATTATAATGGGAAAATGAAGCAGCTAACATCTCCTTCAAACTATAAGCATGTACCTGGTATCATACTAGGATTCACTGGGTGGCACAAATGGTTAAGCACTCAACTATTAACTGGAACACTGGCAGATCAGAGCCTTTCAGAGGGGCCTGAGGAAAAACACATGGTGATCCATTTCTGTAAGTCCACAGCCTTGAATACCCTATGGAGCACAGTTCTGCTCTGCAACATGTGGGGTTTCCAGGAGTCAGCACTGACTCTACAGCAGCTGATGAGGTTTATTGGTTGGTGTCAACTTTGACGTCCTATCCTCAACAACTGTAATTCAAGACAAAATACAAGGCACAGATGAGGAGGCAAAACAGCTAGCTCGAGCCTGCAATTCCTGAGAAGAGAAAACTCACAGGAAAGGAGCTCTAGAACCACCCCAATTTTCCATCTGGCAACAATTTCCCAAATGCATCACTATAAGCTAGAGTCCAAGCAGGGCACAGCAGTCCCTGAGAAGGCAGAGAACACAATTCAGGATAGGTGAAGTGGATGGAATCTGTAGGTAAAGGTTCAGGTAGGGCATAAGCTATGAAGGCAGCATACCAGAAATCAGTCTGAGGATCTACATCTAAGACCCTGACTGAGGGCTGGGCTGCACACATACATGGAGAGACACCTAAGAGCTAACAAAGAACGGCTGCTACAGGGCCAAGAACAAAGCAGAAACATTAGAAGTTGGGCAGCGCTAGGGAATACTGGAGTTCCAGTCTGGCAGGAGTGGAAGCCTCATTGTTGTGCTTAACTGCCATCTTACCTGCTCCAAACCCCTGCCTCAGAAGAAACTTCTGGCAATCTGCTTCCAAAAGGTTATATAGCTTTGAAAACCCTATGGAGCACAGTCCAAGGTAAACCCACATAAAATCCTCAAGAAAAAACTGAAATCCATCACATTACACGGGTTTAGCAAACACTTTGAACTTTCCACCGATACCTTTAATAATATATAAAACCAAGCGTACACGCAAGTTTACAGAGTCACAAAGTAACTTAACTGTCAAATCAGGTGTAGTGGGGGGACTACATTCCTCAAAGGAAGATAACTAAATCCATAACCTCTACACTGTATTATCCACACTAGCTAGTATACAGTAAAAAATTACTAGATATGCAAAGAAAGAAGAAAGCATGATCCATACTAAAAATAAAAAGCAGTCAATGGAAAACAACCCTGAGATGGTCCAGATGTCAGACTTAGCAAAGACTTTACAGCAGGTACTATGAACATTCCAATAAACGTATGTTCAGAGAATTTAAGAGGAATATGGTTTTAATGAAAGAATAGAATATGAGCAGAAAAATAGAAATTACACACAAGAAATGGAAATTCTACAACTGAAAAGTACAATAACTGAAATAAAAATTCACTGGACAAAATTAAAGAATAATTAAGTGCAAGTAAAGATAACTGATCAACAGAAATAAGAAGATAAAGTTGAAGAAAAATGATCAAAGCCTTAAGCACCTATGGAATAATAACAAAAGATCTGACATAGGCACAAATGGAATCCCAGAAGGAGGAGAGAGTAAAAATAAGGCAGGTAAAAGAAAAGTAAAATACTGGTAGAAATAATGGTGGAATTATTAAAAACTCTGAAGGGAAGGGAAAAAAAACTGACTTACAGATAAAACCCTAAACAGGATAAGTACAAAGAAAAATATATAGCCACATCATGGTCAAACTACTGAAACACTGATAAAACAAAATCTTGAGAGCAACCAGAGAGCAACATATTACACACCTATTACATACCTGTAAGAGAATGACAATATGAATGAAAGCTGTAGGCTAAAAGACAATGCAATGACACTTTTAAGTAGTGAAAGAGAAAAAAACTATCAACTGAGAATTCAATATTCTTCTCAAAAACAGGATGAAATAGTAACTATTCAAATAAACAGGCACATATAAAAAATGTGAAAAAAATGATCCAGGTTAAAAAAAATATGTACCAAATTCAAGCCCAAATCTTTGGGAATAAAAAACAGTAAACAAGTAGTAAATGCAAAACAATATACCATTTTTCCTTAAAAAAATTTAACTGTTTAAAGCAAAAATAACAGCACTGAAAGGAGGATTTATAATGGAAGTATAAGACAACTGCAAAAAGAATGGAGGGGTTGAAAATGAAATTATCTGTTCAAAAGCTCCCTTTCTTTCTTCATTTTGAAAAATAATGCAAATAGCTCTAAGAACAGATCCACTCACAGCTACAAAAATGTCAGGTATTACCTGCAAAGAGAGCACAAGCCCCTCAGTGAGTTCACCAGGGTAAATGCCAGTATTTGAGACCCTGTCTGGATGACTGGAGTGATTATTAGCCTTAAGATTCAAAATTGGAATGCTTCTACAGTCAGCATATGCAACGTATACACACAAGTTATAGGACTTGCACATTAGGATATTAGTAGTTTATATCAGGATAGGTATATATCTTTGTTCCACCTTTTGCTTTCCTGATCTATTTTTGGCTTTATTATCTACTTATTGCTAAAATTTTCAATCCAGAATTTAATCTCAAATAATCACCCTATTTCTAAGGGAAAATAGATTTGCCTCATCACTGTGTACTATAACTGGACTCCCAGAGTTTATAGCCTATATTAGTAAAATCGAATTTGTATTGATGCTTACTGATCGTTTTTTAGATAAGCTGATTCTATTAAGAATACAAGCCAAATGAATACACTAAACGCAGCATAAGTAAATATATTAGACTGTTGTTGTAATATAGATCATGAGAAAGAATGGCAAAATGTAAAGTACAGGCACATAGGTTTTACAGTTTATTTTTTCCCAATTAGTACCCATAACTCAAGATCAGAAAAGCAATTAATTAAGCAGATTCGATGTATGTAGTTAACAACAACAAATGAAAGGAAAAAGCCCATGATTCAAGGACATGAGTTGGATATACATAATTTTACTCAAATCTTTTCACCAATTCCTCACATGTAGATTTTATTTTCTAAAGACGGCCACAACAATATCTCCCATTCACATAGAAGTAATCTGCATTCAAAGCTATAAGAAAGCTTGAATGATGTGAACTGATAGCTTTGTATTAGACTTCAGTCATGGGTGTCAACTTTTTTTTTTAAACATTTGGCATTAATCCCTCAGTTTTGCACCATTAGCAATAAATCGTTAGTCAACAGCTGAAGGCTTCTTGCTTTATTTACTCTCTTCTCCAGAGGAAATCAACTTCTCTAATACTTACCTAAACTTGTGGGCTTGATGAGAACATCAAGGACATCATAAAAGGGCAGGCTTTTTAACTGCACATCAGGATGGACAGGAGGGATTGGGGGAGATGGCTGCTGCATCTCAAATGTAGGCTTAGTATCTTGAAGCAGCACAGAACCAACAGGAGAGGATGGTGAGTGAGATGTAACTGAAGTGGAAGGCAATGAACGGATTCCAGCCACAGCCAAGTCCGGTTCTACAGGTGATGAATTACCATCCAAATTGAAAACTGATGATTTTATTGTGGATAAATCCGAAAGTCCTTCAAGAGTCCGTGGGTATCGGCGTCTATACAATTCTCTGATTTTAATCTGAACCGCAGGGCTACAGCCACTCTTCAGTAAATGCAGCGCCCTCATCAGGAGGTCATGCTTGCGTCCACTTTTATTCCGTCCAGCAAAGCCTAGTAACACTTGTAGTTCAGAAACCCTAAAACTAGAAACCATATTCTAAAAGGAAAAAAAAAAAAAAAGGACATAAGCCAATAGTTACCCTCAAGCACATAAAAATCCTAGTATCACTGAACTGCAAATGTAAAAACGGTTGAAATGGCAAATGCTTTGTTGTATTCTGCCAAAATAAAATTAAAAATAAAAAAATTTAAATCCTCTATTAAATACACCATAAAATCTGATTTTTCAGTATCCTATCAAGTGGTACATGCTAATAACCAGAATTTTAACCATTCCTGTTCATAGGACTACCCTCCCTCCCCTCAAATTATTTATTTTTGTAAGGTATGGTGTTGATTATATTTTGACGTATTCTTAATTTTGGTAATCTATAGTCTATTGGTTTCTATTAGCTATCTCATTATCTGATCATGCCCATGTATAAACTCACAGCTCATGTTTATTTTATATCTATGAAATCTATGAACAATGGCAATATTTTGACTTTCAAAGTTAAGCCCTACTAATACACAATATCATGTTTGTTACAGAATTATCACCAATTAACCAAAGAAATAATGAGATTTTTTTACAATGTCACATGAATAACTTCTAATGCTGAATAATAAATCTACGAATTCAAGACAATTTTGATTCAAAAGCCAACAAATGTTCACTCCAACTCAAAAACTAAGGAATACACAACGTAATAAGAAAACAAGGATGTTTTAAAATTAAAGCTAAAAAATCATGTACATATTATTTAGCAGTCAGGCAAACTTCTAAAACAAATGAAATTCCCAGCTGAGAAAAAGAACTATGAAGAGCAAGCATATGAGTGGTCACAAATCTTAAAGGGCAAGATCCCCTCCAAGCCATTCCACTGACTTGCAGAATGTCAAATTAAGGTTATTAGCAGTTATTGTTTCATATCTCACCTTTTATTTATTCAGTAAAACCTAATAAATACTTACACACACTTGCTGCTTCATGAATCCACCTACTTGGTGATTTTCAGTCAATTCAGAATTTGTAAGTAAAGCACATTTGGGTCAGACCGACCTGTGCTGCCACACAAGCATCATCTATCAACAAAGAAGACTAAGACCTGAAGCTGACCCAAAGCCTTTTCAGACAAACCTTCTCCAAGGAAACCAATCAAGGCAGCTCTAGAATATTTCTTCCCTTCTTGCTAGTATGGATCAGGGCTTCCCTGGCCCTCCTCAGTGCTATACACTTCACCAAAACCAAAAAACCAACCCCGATGGCATCAAGACAATTTCAGCTCACAGCAACCTACAAGCCAGAGTACAACTGCTCAAAGGGTTTCCCAGGCTGTGTATCTTAATAGAGGCAGAATGCCACACCGTTTTTCCAATGGAGCAGCTGGTGGACCCGCACAGCTGACCTTTCAGCCAAAGCACTTTAACCACTGCGTAGCCCTCTGGAAATCCATCTCAACTGGCTCTCCACCTCAGCACAGTGCCAATGCAAGGCAGTGCTGCAGCAGTTGGCACTACCCCATAATTCTTTTGTTCTGTACTTTCAGTTTTAACAATAGTCCAGAAGCAATTGTTTCGTGCCTTTTAAAGATATGTCAAGACTAATACTTGATCGTTTTCTAAAATGCAAATAAATTTAAATACCCCAAAGTAATCTCTATGTACATGCTGCTCTCTTAATTCTACTCCAGTCACTGTATTTTGTATGCTTCATGTCTCAAAATGTGTAAGTCAGAGAAAATAAAGTTATGATCCTAGTGGCCATTTATACTCTGAATTAGCACTGCTCGATAAATATAAGCTACATATCTAATTCTAAATGTTCTAGTAGCCACTTTAATTTTAAATTGATTTTAACAATGTATTTTATTTAACCTAATACAGAAAATATATTATTATTTCAACATGTAAATTTTTTAAAAAAGCCAGTGGTATTTTTTTTGTGTTAAGTCTTAGGTATCAGATAACTACTGTGTATGGTATATTTATGGTACATCTCAATTCAAACTAACCACATTTCTAACACTTGAGCCACATGTGGCTACCATATTGGACAATGCAGCTCTAAATCATACTCAATTAGCAACATGTATCACAACGCCAGGGAGCGCTGGTGGCGTAGCACCCAAGGCATTTGACTGCTAACCAGAAGGCGAGCAGTTCAACCCACCAGCAACTCCTCGGAAGGCAGACTGGGCAATCTACTTCTACAGAGACACTACCTTGGAAACCCAGGCAGGGGTCGCTATGAGTCGAGATCGACTAGATGGCAGTGAGTTTGTTTTTTTGGTATCACAATGCTATGGTCAATATATTTTAACTTGCTTCATTTTCTCCATGTGTAAGAAGAAGAATTCATTTTATTTATCTTAATCCTATGGTGTAGACAACAAAGATTTTTGGGGGGGGGTGGAATCAGCTATCTCATGACACACCAGTCATAGCTATGTTCTCACTCAAGGTCTCATGCAAAAAGTTGACTATGATAGCTTTTTCAGTAAATGTCTTCTGAATCAAGGAAGTGCAATGCATTGTTCCCAAAGTCCAAACTGGTAATAAATAATTCAATTGAGGTCACTAGTATTACTAACGTTATCATGGAAAACACTAATAGCAACAAAGGCAGTCATACAGTTAAAAGTTATCTGTAATTCTTTCTCAAGAGACCTGACTAGCTCAGGTTCATTATTTTGTTTCTCTCCTTACACTTATTTTCAAATATTCACTTTAAAGAAACATTTAAAGAAATGATAAAATATAGCTCAGTCACCTTATCTAAGCCTGACCCTCAAAAAAGAATTTCTGGGAAGCATCATAGCATACACGTATGAAAGAAACATTATTTGGCAAATTATGCTAATGAAAAATTGGCTCTTAGTTGTTATAAATATACCAACAAAAAGGAGGGAAGAGGTAAGAATTTAGAACTATGAATATGGAATCACTAGATTCAGAAGTGAAGGAGAAATCCTCAAGGGAAACAGCAGATGAGATTGTTTTTGCATTATGAAACATTGCAAAGATAAAAGTACTGCCACACACAAGCCCAAATATAATAGTTCAGAGAGTCAATGGGGCCTAGTAGAAAACATCTTACCAGGAACTGGCAGCTGTAGGCCAAGTCCTGGCAGCAAGACTTAAACCTTCCAAAAGTTACTTCATCAATTTCTATTTCTTTTTTTTTTAAAAAAAAAGCCCCAAACAACTCATCTTTATTTAAGCACTTACTGTTAAGATACTCTCTAAGGAGCTTAGTAAGTCTAATTCTATGAATATGTTTTCCTGGCAAACTTTGCTGGATCTATTTTGTTCTTAAAGTGATTCTTCTTTTTAAAAAAAAAAATAAAATAAAATTCAGTCTTCAACCAAGTCCAGTGAGTAGTTAGAGTGAGTAAGAAAGGGTCATCATTGTCCTTTCAGGGTAAGATTAGCCTGCTATGAACATTCCCAAGAATGGAGTTCAGCTCTTATTCTCCAACAGTCTCTACAGCTTCACTCTCAATTTTTCTCCAAGTGGACATTTTCTACTCCACCCTGCTGTCTCTCAAAAACTTCCAAAGTTTTTCCTCCAACGTTTCAGATACAACTTTTACATATGCTACACAAAGAAATGTCTCAATAAATTATTACTGACTGACTTGAAGGAAATTCTAAGTCAATAACATAATTGATTTAAAAGATATCTAAATAATTTGGATTTCTAATGAAAGCTAGTGCAAATTAAGGCTATGACTTTTAATCAACCCTACTTCTTTTATCAAATTTAACACAACATTATAAAAACATAAAAAGCTGGGGCATTATATGATTAAAACATTACACAAAGAAGTGAAAGCAAGCTGAAAGTACTACATTTAGGAAAAACTTCACCAAATATGTGAGAAACCATTTTCATTCTCCTGGAACCCATATTTAGGGTCTGGTCTATGGACTCTGGGTAACCCGACTCAGGCCAATTGTCCATAGACGACCTTTCGAGCTTTGAAGGAACTGTTTTCCTAAAGTCACCTTCAAGTCACACAATAGCCTAGTAAGCAACTAAGCTGAAATAGTTTTGCCTTAGGCATTGGGCCTCTTGTAGAGAATTATCTTTGTGCAACCAGTTTGGAAATGCAGGGAACAACAAGGCCCACTGGAAGCTGTGTTTTAGAATATAGGCTTGTCCTTAATGACTGTTTTTACAACTGACTAATCCTGAAGCCCTGGTATGTGCTCTGAGAAAGCAAAAAGGAAAGAATTTACAATGCCCCTGATGATACTACCCCACCCAGACACTGCCTATATAACTGTTTTTCACTATTCCCTTCAATTCTTAAACATGAGATAGAAATGGCCAAAAATAAGCTGGAACTCACCAGCCACTCTGCAGAAGACTGGGCAATCTGCTTCCATAAAGATTTACCGCCTCAGAAACCCAAAGGGGGTCGCTTTTAGTCGGAATCGACTGGATGGCAGTGAGTTTGGTTTGGTTTTGGGTTTTGAGAAAACTCTAACAGGTTAGAAGTCATGGTAAAGATGGAAACATATTTTGTAGATCCTCCATCTGCTATGATATACAATAAGAGATGAGAGTAAGAGCTGCTGAGGGAAACTGGCAAATGACGTTATTAGTACTGCCTACAGTAACTATAATATCAAAACAACCTATACCTCCACTTTTAAGTATGAATAGATAATGAAAAACCACCAGACATACATATGACCACAATCAACAAGTCAAGAGTAACCAAGCTGAAGTCGTAAGAGAAACTACATGGCAAATTCAAAGAATACTCTGATTCCTAACTACTACCCATTTCAGAGTCCCATATTTCTATGAAATCATGTATTCCCTTATAATGAAAAACATTCCTTAATTTAGTGATCTTAAGTGGATCTCTTCCTTACAACACATTAAAAATAACTCCTAGGAAACAAAATGTGGTGGTTGTTGTTGTGTGCCGTCGAGTCGGCCCCGACTCATAGCGACCCCTCCTTGGGTTTCCGAGGC